TAGATCCTTATTTTTTCAGAAAATTTGATTGGGAAAGGAGGAAGCAGCCAAGTTTACAGAGGTTGTCTTCCTGATGGCAAGGAGGTTGCTGTGAAGATCTTGAAGCCATCAGAAGATGTTCTAAAGGAGTTCGTAGTCGAAATCGAGACCGTTACCTCCTTAAGCCATAAGAACATCATATCCCTTTTGGGATTTTGCTTTGAAAATAGCAAGTTCTTGTTAGTTTATGATTTTCTCTCAAGAGGAAGTCTTGAAGAAATCCTTCACGGTACTCGTAAGTCCTAACTCTGTTTTTTTCGTCTCGAGAACTAGCAACCGTCACCTGCTAAAGCGTTACTATCCATGAATTTTATGTTAGTTGAACTAGCAAATGGAAAGAACCCAAATGCATTTGGTTGGAATGAAAGATTCAAGGTAGCTGTTGGTGTAGCTGAGGCGTTGGATTATCTCCACGACGATGCTCAGCATGTGATCCATCGGGATGTTAAATCGTCGAACGTTTTGCTATCTGATGATTTCGAACCGCAGGTGATGTACTAGTAGACATGATTTGTACTAAGCTTCCAGATTGATACTCATTATATCCGTTTTCGTTCTTCAGTTATCAGATTTCGGGCTCGCTAAACAGGCATCGAACTTGTCGCACGTAACGTGTACAGATGTTGCAGGAACCTTCGGGTTTGTATCTCTAAATCTTCTGAAGTGTTTTGGTCTGTGATGTAATTTTTTGTTTAAATGTTACTGCTCTTTGCTGCAGTTACCTGGCTCCTGAGTATTTCATGTATGGCAAGGTAAATGACAAGATCGATGTCTATGCTTACGGCGTTGTACTCCTCGAACTTCTTTCCGGGAGAAAACCGATAAGCACCGAGTATCCGAAAGGCCAAGAAAGCTTGGTCATGTGGGTATGTCTTCTGAACTTGTAGAACTCGATCGTTGCTGAATTAGTTATGGACGTTTTCCATTCTCAAATGAAAATCATATCATCCAGGCAAAGCCAATTTTAATCGACGGGAAGGTGTCTCAGTTACTCGATCCTAGCTTGGGAGGTAACTACGACCAGGACGAGATGGAGCGTGTAATTCTTGCAGCAAGCCTTTGTATCAGACGCGCCCCACGAGCTAGGCCTCCAATGAGCCTTGTAAGTTGATAAAAGAAATCGATTTGTTCTCATGTCTCGAAACTCGACGATGAATTTATGCGTGGTTCGATTCGATTACAGGTTGTGAAACTTCTCCAAGGTGATGTAGATGTAACCAAATGGGCAAGGCAACAGATGAATGGTGTAGGGGATTGTAACACTGTAGATGATGAAGTATGTCCACGATCCGATATCCAATCACATCTCAACGTTGCGCTGCTCGACGTCGACGACGACTCGCTCTCCTTGAGCAGTGTCGAACAGAGTATCTCATTGGAGGAGTATTTGCAAGGCAGATGGAGCCGTTCGTCGAGTTTCGACTAAGAAGCGCTGAACCGCAACCCGGGTAGCTTGAGGAGTGACATCAATTCGGTATATTCATGGGTTGAATGGGTGAAGGATGAGAGGATGTTTGTGATGTGCCCTCCTCCCTCCATTTCAGGCTCCTTTTGGTTGATTATCATAACAGATTATGAACATAAACTTCATTAAACATTGGTAATAATAAAAGAGCACAGCAGTTTTGTTTCAAGTAAACGATATGAGTTCTACAAAATAAAGTCGTCTCGGTCACAATTGAGGTGATCTAGCTTGTTCGATATGAGTTCTTTCCGTCTTTTTGAAGACTTTGTTTATACAAAGACAGGTTGATCCAAGCGTATACGCCATTGATATCAAATATCTAAATCAGTTCAACTATGTTCAAATTTAAAATAGAGAACGTCGATTATTGTAAGAGATCTATTAGGGTACGGGAGAAGTCATAAAGTTGGGGTTGATAGCGACGTACATTTGGTTAAAGTGAGTGTGTGTGGTGAAGCATTATTGAATATGAGACACAAGAAGGGGAGGGGCCCGACTGAGGAGGTCGGTGCGCCATGTTTTTTCTTCCCCACCGACGCAAATTAATTCGTTTTTTTTTTTTTTTTTTCCTGTCAAAGTTGTAATAAATGATGTCTAAATAATATAGTTTTGAAAAAAAATATATATGTATTTTTATTTTTGGGAGAAAATAGAATTTATTATTATTATTATTATTATTAGTGGGGTTATTCCTTTTGCAAGAAGCTGAGGAGGTGGGTGTGGGGAGTGGACAGTGGACAGACAACAAAAGGACGACTTCGATTAACCTAATAAAGTCTTGGTTCCATTATTTTTAAGTTGTAATGTCGGTGTCACAATCATATATTCAAAATATATACACTAAACTTGGATCTTCATATATATATACATATATATATATATGGGCTTTTGGGCTTTAAGTGGATTAGCCCTATCAATTCACTTCGAGCCGTTCTTTGATTGGATCTGATCGGACTGAAAATGGGGTTCTCTGTAGATTCTACTGCACTCAAATGGAGATGTTTATTTACTCTGCACGACCTGTGTCAATCGGAGTAGAGAACTCTTGTTTAAACGGAGAATGGAAAAGGAAGTGGGAAGATCTTTTTTTTCATGTTTAGGGATCATATATTCACCACGATCCATACTAGATATGACCAACTGCCCATCTTACTCTGTCTACGTTCTTGATAGCCCATCTTTGTCTCAGTAGAGTCTTTCAGTGGCATGTTTTGGTCATCTTCCCTATTAATTAGAAAAAGTGAGTCACCGGTTCAAGTACAAGATACTATCATTACCGCCTGGACAATTAGACATCCAACTCGTAATCGCAACGACCCTCAAGAGCGGAGCTCTACGAACTGAGCTATATCCCCCCGAGCCAAGTGGGGTCTAGACTCCAGATCTGTCAACTCAAAATATTGCAGCAGCTGTTAGATTTACTCCAAGTTTGTTGTGTGACTAAAGTAGCTCCTATTTTTTAATCGGGCAAGATGAGATGGTATTTATTAGTCGGTGAAATTGGGTATCTTTCAAATCTTATTATACCCTTGCCCAATATAACGACATGTTCGAAACTTGACCCATGACTCTTCGTGTCGAGAAAAGGGTGTAAGCCCACCTCAAAATGACCCTCACTTGGCTTGTGTTCATTCTCAAAACCGCCTTCTTAATGTCCACCACATCTATATTCTATGTTATATTTCCTTTTGACTCTTGGAAATTTCCAGGAACATGTGCCTAGCTAACATCTCCCCCCAACACTTTTCAACTAAATTAGGAACGCAAACGTAGGTGTTAGTAATCATTTCGAATTAGAATGAGTTCAGAGATAACTTTTTAAAAATCTTCGATTAGAACATACTCGAAGCATTTAGTTCATGTCACTTTTAGTAGATACCGACACAAATTTGAACTTAACCAAAAATTTCAACCCCTCGTCGTGTCTATTACTCGTCCATGAAATTCGATCGTTATTTGTCAAAGTCGACCAAAATATCTCCAAATTTTGTATAAATTCTCAACTCGATAACCAATGGACAATATTAGAGCTGACCATTGACTTTCCAATAGGATGAAGACTTGTACGGTAACGTTGACAACGACAGTAGAAACTTCTAGCAAATTTCCCCAATACCCATTGATTTTTAAAATTCTCCCTTTGATTTGCCTATAAAATCTGCACCCGGCGGCTAACCCAATAACCCAAAACCATGGCTCTTCCTATTAGCTCAAACGACTTGCTCAGGATCTTCAACAGGCTCGACAAGAACAAGGATGGCCTCATTTGCGTTCAGGAGCTCAAGTGGCTCCTAGACACCATTGGCATTCAATTGACCATGGAGGAGTTGGAGTCGTTTCTCGAGAAACCGAGCCTTGACTTCGATGAGTTCTTGTTCTTTTACGAGTCGATATCGAAGCAAAATAAAGGCGAGTGCAAGGGTGGGTTGGTTGATGAGCATGGAGATGAAGAGGAAGATGTGGAGATTGTATATATGGCTTTTAAAGTGTTTGATGTGAATGGTGATGGCTTCATTTCTTGCGAGGAGCTCGAAAACGTGCTGTCGAGACTTGAGCTTTGGGATGCAAATAAAAGCGAGGTTGATTGTAGAAGCATGATCCGAGCTTATGACACCAATTTGGATGGGAAGCTCGATTTTGAGGAGTTTATGAATATGATGTTGTTCACAAACTAGTTCTTGTTTTAGTTTGATCTCGATTCGATTAGTTAGAAAATATAGAGGTTTGCTCGGTTAATTACAAGTTTAATTTGAAGAATAATGAAAATTTTGATCTGAGTAAGTTGAATTTTTTAATAATGAAATTTATTTTTAGTAAAAGTGATGAAAATAAAATTTTAATAAATTTAGAATGCTGACGTCAATATGACAAAAAAAATTAATTGGCACACCGAACTCTCACAAATGTAATAATATATAATGATAATAATAAATTGATCGTGGGCTTGACGTGGGCTTCGTGGACGTGGGATGGGCCGGCCGAGGATACTGGGCTGTGGTGCATCTTGCTGGATCATGGGCTTGATGTGGGCTTCCTGGACGTGGGAGTTGGGCCGGCCGAAGATACTGGGCTGTGGTGCTTCTTGCTGGATCATGGGCTTGACGTGGGCTTGCTGGGTCATGGGCTTGCTGGATCATGGGCTTGACGTGGGCTTCCTGGACGTGGGAGTTGGGCCGGCTGAGGATACTCGCTAAGCCGCGAATCTGATTGGACTTCATGCATGCATCTGGGCTAGCTCTGGACCGTGGGCTGCGTCTGGCATGGATTTCTTGTTCGTGGGTTGAGTTCTTCGTATGGCTGGCCCGCTGCTTAGATAACACTGGGTTTCGAATCAGGTTCAACCCGGCCCGAGTTTTCTTCCCCTTCGTAAAGAATCAATTCATTACAAAATGGACCATACACTAACACAATTTTGAAAATCCAACAAAAATTATAAAATAACCATAACATATTAAAAGTCGATGCTTCACTTGTCGTTGAATATATATACACACAATTATTAAAACGGACATTTTGAAAGAAAACTATACATTCACATAGTATTTTGTAACTACTTGTAAACTATCTGTGATTTCATGAATTTAGGAGGTACACGCTGCTTTTGGCCATGGGGGAAACTCTAGCTATGCATTAAGAACCTAAATTACAAACTTCATCATATTCCTTTTCAGATTACACTTTCATAAAGCGTCAACGTTGTTCAACTTATCTCCCACAAAATAACGATTTTCAGAACTGCTCAACCCAGCTGAATGGAGCTGTTTTCGCCGCTTTATTAGATGCGTTGCAGTTTTGCGATCGTCTTGGGCATCCCCAGAATCAGGCTGTGCACAACAGAAATTTTTACTTCACCATAAAATATGTGGGATCGAGAAAACAAATCAATGTCTTATAGAGCAAAGCTTTAATGGACTTTGACCGTAAGTGGGCTTTTGGGAATAAATCGTGTTTCTCAACTTTAAATTCAGTAATGAACAGTCAGGCCGAAGAGGGCGCTGGTTGGACGATAAATGATGCAAGAGCTTTTGACTGAGCCTAGCATCCAAAATGGTTGGTATATTAACAATCGAAACTGTCACCATTTATACAGTTTCTTTGGGAAACTATTATGAAGGCTAGATTTTAACTGACCGTGCAAGTATACTAGACAGATCGATCGTGTCAGGACAAGGAATGCAGTGTAAATACTAGTATAAATACAAAATGATGAACCAGGCAAAATCACTGTACCTTAATGGCCAATGCTCTGTCAAAGCTCTCTATAGCACTATCAGGTTCCCCAAAGTTTAACTGTGCTCTACCAAGAGTGATCCACGCCTGATTGTATTCAAAATCAAAAGAGACAAGAAATCAGTTGAGAAACTAACAAATGAGTCTAGCTTCTTCACATTTACTGAACATAGGTCAACAGCACGATGAATGAGGAAATTTTAAATGTTTAAAGTTCTCGGCAAATCAGCTCAAGAAGGAAAGGTCGTCGGCTAGAAAATTGTTTACTGCTTACTAAAGACACCCAATGCAAAAGAAGCTGATCTTGGATGGGAGATCCAAGAAAGGCATTAAAACATTGAATCTATAAGTGTGTAAACTTCCCATAATAGAGCAATGTGCCATTGGTCTACGAGAGAAATAGATCTAAATGGTTCTATCCAACTATATGGAGCCAATGAATACCAGACTCAAGTTCCCAACAGAAAATAAGCAATTAAATGGATAGAATCCCACAAGACAAAACCCATCGAAGACGAAAAAGAAGGCGCGATGTTTTCAAAGATAGAGTAAAAGGTGTAGCAGGATATATTAATATTGTCCTGACAGTCTAAGAGTTAGTTGTACCTCAGCCCATGACGGATCTAAGTCAGTAGCTCCTGCAATGTAGAATTCAGAAATAGATATTTCAACTTCAAGGGCATGAAGATTTGATGTTATTTTAATAATAGAATTAAATGAAATACTCAAATATAGGCCATCGTATAAAATAAATAAAACAAGAAAAATGTGGAAAAGCAAGTTCCTTACAACAACAAAAAAGAAAAACAAAAGGTATGGCTTATCACCCAGATCATAACAAAATGCCATTTTATGAGGTATCCTAATCTGATCATTTTATGAGGTAACTTGTGGGAGAGAGGGGAAGCTCTAGAATTCTTCCCTTGACATTGTACTTCATTAATCAATAAACCCAGTTCATATCACCATGCATATACCCTATAGACCGATCACGGATCACCTATGTTATTTCAATATAGAGCTTACCGACCAATATGAAAAATCTTAGACAATCGAAACAGTAAAAGGTAATTGAAAGCAACATACTGGTTGCTGCCTTCAAAGCACCCCAAGCTTCCCCAATCTCCAGTAGAACTTGTGACTTTTGTTCATGTAGAACTGCATTTTCAGGCATCAAGGTAAGAGCAGTCTCCCATTTTCCCAGTGCTTCCCGTAATTTCCCATTCTGAAAAAAGAAAAAGCACATGGCCTTGGAGTATAATCAAAATATTTAACATCCAAATGTCAATGCATGAGGACAATTTCTATAACTGCAACATAAAAGAAGGATAACCTACAGGCTTCATTTTTAAGTCGATTCTCCTAGTAAAAACCAACCCAAAGGTTTGTGAGCAAGCCCATATTTGTATAGAAATGAACCAAACAGTCGGTATGATCCGAAGCAAATAGTAATATTTCAATGCCAAATAGTCACTAAGATCTGAATCATCTAGCTACGTGTTCAATTGGAAACATTCTTGTTCGACAAAAGATTTCCTAATAAACCTCTGGTATAATACAACGCATTCAAATATACAAATGGCTTCTTCCTTATAATAGTTCAAGTGCAAATACCATTACTTAAAGTGAAAATTCGTTTGAATAAAAACCATTGCATCATTGCATGTGTTAAACTATGAACACAAATACAAATGCATACGGAAATGGAAATGGAAATAAGTAAGCTTTCCAAAGACGTGTGTTTCCCTCGCCCATTACCTAATTTTTAGAGGAAAGTGCGTCACTAATGTTCCATATTTGTGCCTTTTTTCATTCTTTGATAAATGATTTACATCTGTATCAATATCTCATATATTGTAAACCATTCAAATCACGGAAGGCAAATAAAAGTACCAGTTACCGCAAACATAAAATAAACACCATAATTTACTCATTTAACAGCTGCAAACGGTTTCTTCCCAAAACAAATCCTCTGCAAATGGTCCTTTAGAGGTGTGGTTCCATATACTTGAATCATAATTTGCACCGTAAACCAAGGGTTCATTTGCTATTAGGTTTGTTTTATTGTTTCAGTGTGTTAGTAATAAGCAAATCAAAAGGCTTCTCCCGAGATAGAGGATCAAGATGTCAAGTATGCAAGAAATTTCAATTCAAACCAATGCAAGATCCAAAATTAGTCATTGTTTTCAAAGTGATACACAAATTTCTCTTCCCTAGATAGCCGCCTCCCTGTTTCAACAGTATCCTATAGCTTTGGGCTGATGATGTTCCGAACAAATTGTTCGTGAAGATTTTCTGTTGTTGCATTGCAAGAAACAACGCATACGATTGGGAGATGTTTTCTCGAATATTACCAGTGTGATTCATAAATGAAAACTCGGTGACCACACACCAGCAAGGTTTTTGCAGCGCAATTATTTTCTCTTCAATTCAACTCAGGAAGTTATCATTCTCTCCGATAAAACATTTCAAATTTAAAATTCAAAATTAGATACTGTTCTTAAGTACAATTGAGAACAGGAAGTAGTAGCTAAACAAATTTCCAACGGAAATGCCATAACAAATTCAGCTCAAATTTGTTGAAGGAAAACACACGCACCTCGGCAAGCGTATTGCCTTGATCCCGAAATGATTCCGCGAGACGCTTGAGGTCTGAAGACGAACTTTCTGAAGCTCCATCCTCTCTCCGGTCTATTTCATTATCTTGGCGATTAACCCTACCATCTTCTTCCCCCTCACCAGGAACCTCAAAAGGAAGATTTGAACGGCTTGAAATTGCCGTGAAAGACCGCTTCTTACTATTGCCCTTGTTCTTCCATGTGAGCTTCATCGTCTCCTCGAACCCTCGATCGAACAGGGTAAAGTATACAGAGCTTTTTCGTATTCGGAACGAAACGGGCAGGTTCTCGGTCAATTTCAGAGCCCGATCCGGACTAATATTCCGGGTCGGATCTAAATTCATGGGCTATTTACCCACATGCCCATTCTATTGGTTTCAAGAGAAGCCTCCTCTAATTTTGTACGGATTAATTTTTAAAACTTTAATATAATGTTTACAAACAAATACATAAATATATATATATATATATAATATATAATGTATTAACATAATTTCTAAAAAATCAAATTTTAATATTATAAAATAATATTAAAGTTTCAATGTCATTTGAAATTAAATATTACCCTTAAATATAAATAATAATATTTACAATAAACTCTAAAATTCATAATTTTGAATTTATTATAAAAAAAATACAAAAATTACAAGATGTCTCTAATTCATATAAGTTATCAAAATTTCATGTGATAAATTATTTTCAATAAGATTATTATATTATTTAATTCATTCTCTTAATAATTTTTTTTGTTCTAAGATGTTCTCATAATACATTAAATATATATTTAAAAAGATGTATTATAATTAAATAATCAGTTATAATAATTTTGTAAACTATGATCAATTAATTAGTTTAATAAAAAAAATATATTCAGAATCTTAATATTTACATAAAAACTTACGTAAGATCGAATTGTAATCTTATTACAAGTTGATTGAGTTGACCTAACTAAAAAAAATGTCATTTATAAATTATATTAAATTTTTTATTTTACAAAAATCTAACCCGACTCAACTCGACCTAATTTTTATAGTTTAGATTGGATAGTCTGAGTTAGAAGGTTAGTAACGACGAAAATGACTCGACTATATTCGATTTAAACCGGATTCTCCATGCCCATAGGTCACCTCCAAATTCTTACCATTAGAACATAAGTAATTAGTTTCCACCATCATTCAGTATGAAAACTCCATTAAAAAGCATAATTCTAATCAATGGCCACAATTCGGTCAAAGATTGTAGCTGACCAATCACAGCCGTCAATCTCCAGCTCACAAGATGTATACATTATATTCCTATTTTTATCTTCAAAATTGAATAACTTTAATTTTTGTTTAGTTTTTAAATTTTATTATTTTACATGTTTCTCTGAAAATGTTAAGAAATTTAAAAACCCATAAGGAATATATATATTTATTTATTTATTTTTTTTTTTTTTTTGGGAATAAAATTACGCGTCCCTGTACTATTTTTGGATTAAAAATTACGTAATTAAATTATACATTATATTCTTATATTTTTTATTGTTATTTCAGTTTATAATTTATTTAATTATAAATAAAATAACTTTCACCCGGTTTAAGTGTGGTGGATTAAGCCAACATTCTTAAGAAACCCAACAGCTATTCCATCCCCGTTGTCCATGGAACCCGCTCTGAATAATCCACCTTTTGCGGGATTNGTGTCCTAACCACCCAACAGCTATTCCATCCCCGTTGTCCATGGAACCCGCTCTGAATAATCCACCTTTTGCGGGATTATTCCCGATGTAATCATAAAAAGCTAATTTTTCAGGAATTTTAGACCAAGCTTCTGATAAACTTTGATTTTCGGCTAGCCGGGCACTAACCCTTCGATATATTTCTAGCTGGAAGTATTCCTGATCCCATTGATAACGAGTGGGACCAAATAATTCAATCGGGGTAGTTGCTGAACCATACCACATAGTTCCAGCAACAACAAAAGCTGCAAAAAAGACAGCAGCGATACTACTCGAAAGGACGGTTTCAATATTTCCCATACGTAATCCTTTGTATAGACGTTGGGGCGGACGAACACTAAGATGGAATAGGCCCGCTAATATGCCCAATGTACCTGCTGCAATATGATGAGAGGCTATTCCGCCCAGAACAAAAGGATCAACTCTGACCCAAGTAGCATGGGCACGTAGAATCCCTTGTGAATCAGCAAGGACCACCTTATAAGGCCAATACTCATGGGTGACCGATAGTGAAGCAGTACTGTGAGGGAAGGGTGAAGAAACCCCAATCGGGAAGTGAAATAGAACATGAAACCGTAAGCTTCCAAGCAGTGGGAGGAGACCAAGACTCTGACCGCGTGCTTGTTGAAGAATGAGCCGGCAACTCGTAGGCAAGTGGCTTGGTTAAGAGAACCCACCGGAGCCGTAGCGAAAGCGAGTTCTCATGGGGCAATTGTCACTGCTTATGGATTCGAACGTGGGCGATCTATCTATGATCAGGAGGATGAGTTGTGGAAAATTGTGAATGTTAAATGAAATATGTTTTTGCATAATAACTCTGGAAGCTCAGGGGAAGTTTAGATTTTGACTTTACAAGGTTGTCAATAATACCTTTGCCATGGAAGTACCGAATTTGACTTTACAAGTTGTCAAAATAAAGGACTTCCATTGCCGAAGCTTACCGGAAACCTTGCTCCTAACCTTTATAAGCACAAACCTTTCTTCCTTACAGCTCATTTCCTCAACGAAACTCAGCCAGATTCCGATGGCTCCGACTACTGCCCCACGTAACAAGCCGATCAAATTTCCGGCCACCGCCGTCTCAAGTTTGAAGCCGCGGAAGGTTGCCACTGTAATTCCGGCAAGAAGAAAGTTGGTGATGACGATGATGTACTACTCTATTAGGGACTTTCTTAAATCCCTCCTCCGTCGCTCGCCGCCGGGAACCCAACGCCGATGACACGTAATAATGGCAGCCTCATTACTGTATTGAGATTTTGATTTCCGTTTTGTTTTGGTGGGTGGGTTTTGCTCTGTTTCATGTCGGAAAAACAGAGCATTTTATGTTTTGGCTTGTTTTTGACAAATTACATATATATAATTAAATAAAGCTGTGATTTGTTCTTGTTCCGTGGTGTGTGCGAAACTATGACTGTTATTTGCCGGAGATTGGGGTTTATATGGGGATTGTTCAAACTGATTGAAAACAGAGTATCCGACAGCTCTGCCGGAGAAAAACTAGCCACCGGCACCGATGGCCGGTTTTCTTTTGAATTTTATTTAATAAATCAAATACGTATTAAAAAAAACCCGGTTTGGTTTATTATTATTTCTAACATTCTCAACTTTAAATAATAATGAAAATTACCAAAGTAGTTAATACTAATTAACCTTAAATTGTCTCTAATTCAATTACCTATGAATTAATTATGCAATAATGCAAGTTATTTTAAACTAATTAACAATAGTTATTTTTCTTTATTATTATTATTATTATTTTCGATAGACCAAATTTTAGCGCCTGAAAGCTATTTAAAGGGTAAAAATATATTCTTGCTCTTGAATTTGGAAAATATTTTCAACCCACCCAAAATTTCAAATTAATGGAGCTGATAACTCAAATAATTCAAATATAGTTCACAGTCCAACCCATCTCATCTTTATTTTTTAATTATACTTATTCATAACTAGAATCTCATTAAACTCAAATATTAAACATTTATAAGTTGCACGGTATCATTAATATCAATTACAAATATCAAATGTTATTAAATTTTCTAATAATTTTAAATGTACAATTGAATTGTAACCCTATTTTCGAGCTAATTGGATTGACTTTTTAAAAGTCAACTTATCAATTATATTTAATTTTTTATTTTTTAAAAATTAAACCCTACCTAAACCAATTTTTTATAGCTGACTTATACCAACTTCCACATATTAGGCGAGCCCAATAGAAAGGTGACATGTGGCATAGTGGAAATTTAAATAATTTTTCATGTCCAAGCAAACGGAACACAGTGAGCGTGTGACTGCTGAGTGACTCACCAACCCTGACACCCGTACAGCTCAGCGTTGTTTCTCACATATTTCCAGCTCAGCTTTTATTTTTCATTAAAGTTTTAAAGAAAAAAAATTTAAGACGGAACTACAGATTGACGGCTGTGATTGGCCCACAGCTGCATATCTTTGCCATTGAATATTTATAGTCTATATTTTAAGGTGCTTAATTTTAATCTTTGTATTAATAAAATTTGAATGGAAATAGTTTCAGAGAGTTTTATTAATACTTAAAATTTTTGAAAAATCAAGTCGGGTTCTTTTCCCCTTAAATGTAAAGAAATTGACTATTTATTTATAAATAAATGATATATGTCTATATATCAATTATAAAATGAATTATTGAAAATTTTTAATTATGTAGTTCGGTCCATATACCAACGATAAGAATATTTTTTGGATTAAGAATCACCTAATTAACCATATAAATATATATTTTTAAAATAAAAACACACTGAATTTCCTACACAGACTAAACGGAGAAGGCACACGCATGTCCGAGGAAGTTACAGAAAAAGTTTTTTTTTATTAAGAAAAGTCAAATAATGATGATAATAATAATAATAATAATTAAAAGAAGCCGGGAAGGAAACTACATAAAAGCTTCCAGGAAGTAAGAAATAATATATAAGAAACCAACATGAACAAATCTTCAATCGTGTTCCTCGGACTCTGAAACCCCGACCAATCACCGGCAAAATTCCGATGGCAATTCCGACAGCAGAGTACATACCAGGGGTGGGTTCTGAAAAGTTTCCGGCGAGCATAATTGCCGGATCAAAACCGGCCTGACGCAATATCTACCACTCAAAAGTGTGCATAGATATGAAAATATTATTACTCAACGAAAGAATACAGATTTAAGAATGAGGAAAAGAATTGGGATCGAAAAATGTTCTATCTTGATTGATATTCACGACCTTTAAATAGGATACAAGATACTAAATAATATCTACCAAGAAAATATAAACTAACTAAATCCTGATAATAAAATAAAATATACTACTATTCAAATTCAACTAATTACGATATCTAAGATATATTTCCTAACTAATATATTCTGGAAGATTACGAATATCATATATTCCATAACTAATTCAAACTAAAATAAGTTGCACTAAATTGTGACAGCCTCCCTTAGTGCAAGCTTATTTCTCAATAACTCCGAAGAAAAACTTCAAACTTCACTTTGGCAAGTGCTTTAGTAAATATGTCTGCAACTTGCTCATTAGTATGTATTTCCT